GGTGGGTGTCTCTGCTGCAAGGACACAGCGATGGCTCATCTTCAACTCAGTGGCCACCACAACCTCCATGTCCTTCTCTGCCAGGCTGCTCTCCAGCCTGTCCTGGTGCTTGGGGCAACTCTTCCCCACGGGCAGGACTCAGCATTTTCCCTTTTTGAAGTTTGTGTGATTCCTATCTGCCCATTTTTGGACCAAAAAAAAAGAAAAAGCTGCCTCTGAAAAGCCATTTTGCATCATGTGCTTCAAAATTGAAATGTCCCCAGGGTAGACATTTGGTGCTTGTGAAAGCAGGAAAGGAAACCAATAGCGTGACTTGTTCCTTGCAGAACAGAGCAGATGACTGCAGTCGGGATGACACGAAATTGCTTTAAATGGGTTCAGGAGATCCAGCTGCAACCACCTACACCCACCCAGGCAGGGGGAAGGAGGCCACTGCTGTCTCCCTTTGTGAACACCTCGCACATCAGATGGCCATCGCCTCGTCCTCATGGATTTCCTTCTTCGCCTGAGGTGGTATTTTTGTAACTGAGTGTAGACATCTCGAACGCACACGTTACATCCGCCGATGTCCCAACCAGCCACTCTCAATGCTGCCGCCAGTCTGTATAGTGTAATACCTCATCCGTCCCGTCTCAAACATCCACGTTTTCTCCCACACAGAAGCACCCCTTCCTCTGGGGCGTCTGCAGGTGCCGAACGCCAGCCCAGATTAGCCCTCCACCACATGTCTTGCTCAACCCAGCCTTCCCCTTTTCACTTTCCCTCTTGCTCAAGAAAGGTGGAAAATGCAAATTTCTCTTTCCCGGGTTCAAAATGTCTTTCTGAGCTGTGAATGGTGGTAAAGGCAGACACAGAGAGGAACTCACTGGTGTTTGGGTAGGGTCTCCTTGCTTCTTCCACTAGGACCTCAGGAGGGGTTTCTGCTCCAGGGCAGCAACTTTGCCTAAAATGAGCCACTATAATTATCTCCCAGTTCCCTTTTGAAAATGAGAGCTACCTTGACCATCGATTTCAAAGGGAGTAAGGCCAAACCAAGGCTCTCCCTTTCATTCCTGTGCTAAGGGAAACGGAAGACAGCTTGGTTTCCAGCGAGCCTGGAGAGAAAAGGGTTGTGCTCCAGGTTCCTCCCATGCACCTGGATGGCAGGCGATGAGAGGAGTCACCACCCCCGTGCAGGATTTACGTGTTTGTAAGCCAAAGTCTTCAACATCTTTTTAATTGAAGGGGAAAAAAAGTGCATTTCTCTGTTTCTGTGCCTTTTTTTACCTGCCAGCTAGAGGAGACCTCCAGAATGGGATTCATTCCACCCCCTTTTAGATTCAGGTCTTCTTAAGGCCCACATCTGAGGGTCTGCCATTACCTGTTTGTGAGCGAAGGTCTCGTTATAGCTAACGCGGCCCTGGCCAATGCGATCAGCAGAGCTTATCGATCTCTTTGGTTGATGAAAGGTGGGCATCTGCCTCGCGGGGCGCCACACCGGTGGACCTGACCACATCTTCCTTGGTCATAAAGGGAGTCCAGGAACCCAGACAACACACAGAGGTGACGCGGTGTTCTTCTGAAGGTAAGGAGGTGATAAGTCCTTCCCCTGAAGACATCTGAAGTGATTCCCTACTCCAATCACTACATATCTAATCAAGGGGCGGTGGCTCCTAACCCTGTGATAGCAGTATTTGCCCAGCGCTCTGTTTAAAACAGAATTAACCAGAATTAAGGCGGCTCCGCCTGGAAGCACAAGCCTAGCTGGCTCCGGCCAAACTTTGAGATGCAGCACACGCTTTCTGCAGGGGAGCCAGAGGAGAATGTCAGACACAAGACCCCAAACGCATAACAACTACGGTGTTAAACCACCACTTGATTGCTTTATTTCTGCTTTCTTAAGTAAAATGAATTCCAGTTGGAAACTCATTTGCATCTAGGGCATTTAACCTGGCACCTGAGCTAAAACACCCTTGCGAGGATGCAGCTGTAGCAGCTCCTGCCCCGTCAAAGGAGACGAGCTCCAAAATCAGCGGCTAATCAGCGTGAATGCAAAATGCGAGGCGAGACACCAGCCACGTCATTGCCCGTTCATCGGGACCCAGCAGGAGTGGGGGTGGCAATGCCAGAGGCTCCTCTCCTCACCATAACTCTGCTCCTGGCGCCACCCGGGGTGTTTCCCACCGCTCTCATAGTCAGACGTCAACCCGACAGAAGTCAGCGAGGGCCACGAGACGCCGCTGACCTCCAGTTTCCCCAAACGCAGCCAGCGTCGCTTGCACAACGAGCAAAACTGCTTTCGGTTTGGCGAGCGGCAGCTCCGGCACGGAGCCATGGCAATATCGTTGTGTTTTTATACATTGCCAATCACGGCTGTAGGTCACCGCAGCAAGAAGAGATGCTCTGGGGCTGTAAATAAAACATTAAAAATAATCTTGAGCCTTTTATTTAATGAAAAAGGTGGCAATCTTCCCCGCACCTAAATTAAGCAGCATCTGAAGGGTGACAGTTGTGGAGGAACAGAATCACAGAATGCTTTGGGTGGGAAGGGACCCCCAGAGGTCACCCAGCCCAACCCCCCTGCAGGGAGCAGGGACACCTTGAACCACATCAGGTTGCTCACAGCCCTGGCCAACCTGGCCTGGAATGTTCCCAGGGATGGGGCCTCCACCCCCTCTCAGTGTCTCATCTCCCTCATCATAAAGAATTTATTCCTTATGTCCAACCAAAACCTACCCTCTTGCAGTTTAAAACCATTCCCCCCTGTCCTGTCACTATAGACCTTGGTAAAAAATCTGTCCTCATCTTTCTTACAACCTCCCCTTACATATTGCAAGGCCACAATCAGGTCTGCCCGCAGCCTTCTCTTCTCCAGGCTGAGCACCCCCAACTCTCCCAGCCTGGCCTCAGAGCAGAGGGGCTCCAGCCCTCAGAGCATTTTAGTAGCCCTCCTCTGGCCCCGCTCCAACAGGTCCCTGTCCTCCTTGTGCTGAGGGCTCCAGAGCTGGACGCAGAGCTCCAGGGGAGGTCTCCCCAGAGCAGAGCAGAGGGGCAGAATCCCCTCCCTCGACCTGCTGGCCAAGCATGGGAGAAGAGCAGGAATCACCCACAGAGGTCCCAGTTCAGGCGCAGGTCCGGAGGAACACATTGGGAGAGATGCGGGATGAAGAAGACGGGTGAACCTCACTCGCTAGGACCATGCCCCAGCAAGTTCTCCGTGCGCTTCGCCTCGCAGACAAGGATAAACCTGAGTCTTGCTGTCGTGAATTTGCCGCACGGGAAATTCCGGTTAGAAACAGAAGGGAGGAGGAAAAAAACCCTCTATAAGGGTGGTCAAACACTGAAACGGGGCTGGGAAGGGCTTTTTTTTTTTTTTTCTCCTTTTTTTCACGTACACAACCCCCGTGTGCCACCCAGCAGCTCTCGCCGCAGGAAGGCGGCAGGAGAGAGATGGGGGCAGGCAGTGGCATCGGTCCAGGCTGGCGTGGGCTGCAAAACACCGGGTCTGAAGGAGAAGGCTGCTGAGCAACCACCGCTCCTGTGGTCTGTTCTGGTGGGGGAGCTGCGGAGATGGTGGCTTTTATTGCCGTCAAGAGGGAGACGGAAAACAAAGGCGAAGAGCAGTGGGAAGGGGCTGCTTGATAGGACTTGCCTGTGGGGAGCTTCATCCCTACCGCATCTCAAAATGCTTCCAAAGTGCCTTTATTCACAGCAGAGGTCACCCAAATACCCGAATTTTACTTAAATTTTTAGCTGTGTGGTGCTGTTAATCATTTCATGATGTTTGAATGTGAAAAAGAAAGAATATTTCCTGCGTAGCGTGCCAGTCACTGGCTGTCACCTCTAATGGCCTTGCTAAGCTAAAGGTGTTTGCATCCTGAGGCTGGTTATCATGGTCCTTAACGGCTTTACAACGCTGCCTCAAAATGGAATTTCGGGTAGTGGAATAGTAGAATTCACCCCCTGTTTACTCTGATTTGCTAAGCAAAGGGGGGAGCAACACACGACAGAGCACGTGATTTGAGTCCGACCCATGGCAGAAATCTTTGCTGTGTTCTTCTGGTTTAATTGAGCCTGAAACATAGGCTTGAATAAACGGGAGAGGGCAGAACTTTAAACGAGGAGTAGTGCATGTTTGTAGGTCTCTGTGCCTTCGTTAGGTTGAATTAACTATTAAATATCATTACCGATGTCTGGAGAGCTGAGTGAAATTATTAGGATCCTGAACCAGCTGAAGGTATTGAAGCAGCCAGCAGACCCCCAAAATGCAATCAATCTGAGGGATTTAGTCAAAGAACTGAGAACATCACCCACATCTCCGCTCTATCAGGCCACGAATTGACAACGTTCGAGATCAATTTATTTTCGTGAGCCTCCTGAAAGCCTTCTTCACCTCCTTATTCCTCAGGCTGTAGACCAGGGGGTTCAGCATGGGAGTCACCACAGTGTAGAGCACCACAGCCCATTTATCTCCTTCTCATGAGCTGTCCGAGCTGGGTTTTAAGCACCTAAAAAGCAATTTCCCATAGAAGATGCTCCCAGTGGTGAGGTGGGAGGTGCAGGTGGAGAAGGCTTTGCGCTTGCTCTTGGCTGAAGCGATACTCAGGATGGCGGATATGATGGCCACGTAGGAGACCAGGACAACCAGGCTGCTGGACCCACCAAATAAAGATGCTGAAGTTCTTAGGATAACGAGGCTGAGGGTGGTGTCAGAGGTTGAGAGCGATATCAGAGGGGAAATGTCGCAGAAGAACAGGTCGATGACGCTGGAGCCACAGAAGGATAAATTGGACATGCCAATAGCCTGCCCTACGCCGTTTGTCAACCCCACAAGATATGACCCAATCATCAGCTGGAAACAGCATTTGGGGGACATGACCAGGGGATAGAGCAGAGGATGGCAAACGGCCACTTAATGGTCATATGCCATTGTAGTCAGCAGGAAGCATTCGGTCATCCCAAAAAGAACAAAAATGAACACCTGCACCATGCACCCAGCGTAAGCAACACCCTTCTCCGACATAAAGCCAACCAACATCTTGGGGGTGATGACGGTGGTGGAACAGAGGTCTGCAAATGCCAGATTACCCAAGAAATAGTACATGAGGGAGTGGAGATGAGGGCTGGCCCTGATCAACATGATCATCCCTAGGTTCCCCAGGATGGTGACAAGATAGGTGAGCAGAACATCAGAAAGAGGGTCACCTGAGTCACCGGCTCCTCCATGAACCCCATTAAGATGAACTCAGTTGCTTGGGTGCAGTTGCTTTTGGCCATTGGTTGGACACGTGCTTTCTGCGTGAGCTCCTTGCAGGAAGTTCCTTCTACAACAGGCAGGTATCTCCCAGGTGGAAAACTCTTTCTCCAGTGGGACCTGCTCGGAGACAATCATACAAGATCTAAAGGAAGAGTTTAGGCCGAGATCAATTAGACATGGCTTGCCAAAAGTCATCTCACAGCATGGGTAAAACAAACAGGGTGCTGCAAAAGCAAAGCTCCGTTCCAGCTGGAAGACCCCACGGCAGCGCATGGTCCTCCAGCTCCCTTCTGAATGTTCAGCAACGACCTTCGTGAGAAGCTGTAGGGAGGTTACGCACCCGGGTAGCTTTACCTCGGTGCTGTAGTTCACCCCCTTCGTTAGCGTTCAGCCTGGGACTCCGAGATCATCCAGCTCAACCCAAAACACAGAGAAATGCGACGTTGATGGTGCAGAGTTGACTATTCATCCTCTGGTTGGCATTTGCCAACCACCTGCTTCCTCCCTCTTTGCTGGGACGTCGTCCTAATGGTGAAACCTTACATGGGGGTTTCTATTGGTTTCCCCTCCCTCCCGAGACACTGGTTTAGCTATAAAAACTCTTCCCAGGTCTTCAGCCTGTTCCTAGAGCCTGCAAATGGAAACGAGCAACCCCTGAAGCTGAGCAATCTCTCCTTGAAAATATTAGGGAGAAAAAAAATCATCTTCTGGACCTGCCTCATCTCAGCAGCAGTAAGCTCCCCAACTGCTCTTTACAGGAAAGCTTCTGGCCCTCATCCAGGAGCCCGCTGTAGTCAGTGGGTGAGGAAGCCTCCTGAGCATGTTCTCCAGACCTCCCTTCTCAGCAGTCGTGTGGTGGGGACGCAGGGCGGCCAGCTCCCTGCTTTTGGTGGAAAGTCCAGAGTATCATGAAGAACAGAAGCCCAGGACCCTGCAGGTAGGACATGAGATGAAGATAGGAGCCGTTTCTTTTTTGCAAGAGAAAACTATGGGAGATGGGTGCCTCGGCACATGCTGTCCTTGCTCGTGAGCCTGGTACTGGAGCTCCAGCTTGGGTTGAAGGACGATGACCCTCACTTACATCTCAGCGCTCTCTCTGCTTCCCTCCTGATGCTCTTGGAGATGGATGTGAAGACACGTGTGCCTGAAGCTCTGCGGGGGAGCTTGAAAATAAACCGCCGTCAGCAAATGCCCTTGGTATTTCACATAAATTGGGGGGTTGGGGATTAAGGAGCTCTTTGAGCCCCAGGACAGTGCCAAAGCCCAAAGCAGGTCATTATCTTTTGTCTGCACTTCTTAGTTTGGAGAAGAAGTGTACCCAGGGGAGATGACCTCAGCTTGAGTGAACAGCAGGGCTTTGGGCTCTCTTCAGAGCAAACCACAGAAGAACGCCCATTTTCACGTCCACCTTTTGAACAGTTCCGAGACAGTAGCAGCTCCACAAGTGACACTTTTGATGTTACCATGCCAGGGAGCTGAGGGAGACATCACTGATGGGGCAAAGTCACATAGGGGCTGAGCCAGGGCTGTTATCAGGGTCCATTAGGCACCATGGACGATGAACCACCTTTCTATTCATCTTAAATTCCTTTGCAAATCACAGCTCACAAGTTTGGCTGCAAGGAGCCGACAGAAGGTCACGGGGACTTTAAAGTTGAGGTAGACGCCATCCACCACTCTCCTGTTCATCCACACAACTATCATCTCATCACCCAAGGCACTTGGGTTGGTCAAGCATGACTTGCTCTTGGTAGACCCATGCTGGGCATTCATGGCCACCCTCCTGTCCTTCCTCTGCCTGAAATCTGGGGGGATTTGCTTCTTAATCTTGCTGGGGACTGAGGCAGCCAGTGGTCCTTGTGCCCTCTGTCTTGGTGATGACATTTACCTTCTTCCACCCACCAGGCTGGAAACGCATCAGCCAAAAGGGCAAACGAGAGCCGGAGTGAGAGGTGCCCAAAACTGGAAGGAAGGCGATGGGAAGGACCAGACAAAGAGGGTGAAGCAGGACTGAAAGGGGCGGTGAGTGGGGAGAAGGACCCTTCTGAAGGGACAAAGGGAAGTGCTAGGGCTGGCTCTGTCTCTGCTGGCTCTGATGGGGGTTCCCAAGGCCAACAAGAGATGTGGAGAACCTCTTTTGACAGCCTTTTCACAGCCAACAAAGGTGAGTGCCAAGGGCACTACCATGGGATAAGCTCAGACAACATATTTCGCAGAGTGGGAATTATCTTAGACACAGAAAGGCCCTGCCCCCTAGAGAGCCGCACGTGAGGCAGCGGGCTGAACCCTCCCAGAGCCACATCCAAAAGGAACGTGAATGTTCCGCAGATTCGAGTGCGCCCTCAGCAAGTTTGCGGATGACACCAA